AGAAGAAACGAACGCGCTACATTACCTCACAAGGCTTGTTTCTGGCTTGAAAAAGAACATTTGCTCGAAACGTCGCCAAGTAAATTTATTTTCTTTTTTTTTATCACCTTCACATTTTTCTACTTACATATATATATATATTTCAGTGGAATGGCCTTCATCAACTCCCGTGCAAGTGAAGAAAAAGGCATTATTTGTTTGAGGTAAACAGCAGTTTCTTGGTTAAGATGGTGAAAAATGTAAATATATTCGAGGATGGCTACAAAACATGTTACAGGGGTACTTGCTGGGTGGACAACCAGAGGGTATGGGACAAATGTGTAGATGAAAACAACAACAACGTCATAGATGACGGTTCAATTGAAAAATAAAATAACTATTAGGATTCTACAAAATAAAAATAAAAAAGAGGAGGGGTGTAAACTAAAATCAAAATGGAACCACCAAAGGTTTGTATGTAGCAACGTTCAGGTTCGTGTTTGCAGCATTACCTTTATTAGTTTATAGAACAGAAGTGGGATCTTGTCAAATTGAATTTGGTAAGATGAAAGTATTTTTGTTTTACTATTTTCAGCCTCAGTGTTAAGTCAGGGTTCCCTGAATCGGTATTCATGAAGGTGTATGGGCAGGGTACCCAACATTAGTAGTTGGGTTGTTGTAAGAACAAGGTTTAAATATTTGAATGTAGATTGGTTAGGTTTGAATTTCGTGCAAAGCTATACGAGGGCTAATTGTGGTAGTCGCCCCTAATTTAGCAGTACTAGATTAAAGCAGTGTTTCTCAAACGGTGGGATCGCGAGCTGTTTGCACGAGTCAACATTTTGTTTTGAGTCCTCGAGGTGTCTGAGAGGTGCACATATCGCCTTTGTTACGAACTATGACGAACTGTTTCTTCATCCTTCTAGAGATAATGGTTCAAAGGCCGAAGTCGTCTAGCAAACATTTCATTCTAAGGTGTTTTTAACTCTAGTTTTACTTCGTTAAATATCCTGCATATTGATAGTCGAGCACGTCGTCATCATTTCAAGAGATTCATAAATACGTAGGCTTTATTCGGTAGAAATAGTCACAACCAAGCTAATTATTTTTATAAATGTCTTAAACAACACTTCAACACACAGTTTACTACAGTAAAGAGAAATGGTTCCCTATTTTGCATTTAAGATAGTCAAATTGGATTTTATGTTGAATGTTCTTATAAGACCTACATTGGGTTGTATGCGAATTTTAGAAGTTTTGTTCGTGAATTATTGAAGTGTAACTTTATTCAAGTCTTTCATCTGGCCAACAACTAAGTTTGTTTTTTAAAACAAGACCTTTGTATAAAGTACTAATGAAGAATGATTGACCTCCTCATCATCAAAGGACACTTGACAGACTTTTCAACAAGAGCATTCTGTCGCTGGTAACGTCGATGAGAAGCTTTTATTTCATGTTAAGAAACAAACTTGTTCAACTTATAGGTAAAGTCACTTCAAACTTTTTGATGGTTTTTCCCTACAAACATAAAATTCATAAACAAATCAGTAAAGCGTAAAACTCGGTTCTACCACTAGGCGTCTCCGACAAAAAGTAGAGGACATGTAGCGTTCTTATAACAAGTCACCAGTCTTTGCACGTGACATGGTAAATTTAATCCTCATCTTCCGCTGAGCAACGCTAGCTATTCAGAAGTTATTCTGTAATATTTCACAGAGTTTAAGTTTGCTGACGCAAGTTTGCTTAGTCAGTAGGCTTAACGTATGATGTTAAAAACTAAATCTTTGTGTTAAACTTGGTTCGGTAACGCGAGCCCAGATCTTTGTGAAGTGTTAAACTACAAAAAAAGTACTGTTTACTTTCTACTTGTAAAACTAATGAAAGTAAGTTTCTGCTTATTTTCTTTATCTAATGTTGGAACAGGTGTCGCTATAGAAAGTCTGATAAAGCACGAAGAACACAAATAGTGTAAATATAGTCCTAAAACAAAATAACAGATTATTAAGGCATGTAATTTATTTAGAAGGTTCTTAACCGTTAGTGTTGTTGCTGCATTTATGTTAGGGGATAAAAGTGTTGCTGTGAAAAATTAAAAGATTAGTACTGAATGAAATAACGTTTAAGCGCAAATATAGATGTTTTAACAAATTAAAATTAAAATGGAACATGTCTTCCATTGACATAACGGTAAACTAGAAAGTTTATAACGCTATAATTCAGCTAAAATAAATGCACAAATATTGGCATTATAAGAAATCTTTTGCTGTGACACTGCCCTCCTCACAGGTGGCTTAGCAGTAAGTCTTAGGAGTAATCACGCTAAAAATTGGGTTTCGATGCATGTGGTGGGCACAGTACAGATAGCCATTATATAGCTGTGAACTTACTAACAAACAATGTGAGATATAAAACATAGTGATTATCATCATCAGGGCTAATACTTTCCATACATAATTTAACATTCACAAAGTGTTTAAACAGTACTATCGACTTTGGGCAGGTAGTGCACTAAAAAGTTATTGTAATTGTAGTGAAAAAAATATTTTATAATTGAAAACATATAAATGTTTAAACAACTTTACTGAAAGTTGGTTTTTAACGTAATTAATAGTATTTAGTTTGTGTTTTTTTCTTTACCTAACAGCACATTCTCCGCCCTCATTTTATTTTTCATTATCATTAATTACATTATGGCTAAGTAAGGTTTAGTGCCAGCCGTATCGTGAACAGTGTATTTTCCATTGTGGATGTATAGCTCTTTTTATTATGGGCATTATAATGTTATACAGCAGCATTTTAGTGTATATGTTCTTGTGGTGATAACCGCTACGTGTCGCGACCGTAGTTCTTAATTGCCAGTACTGATTGAATAGAGGATCTCAGATGTATGGTTATACCGCATTGGACACAGTATGGGTATGAAATGGTATGTATTATCACCAGCAGGTTTATCCCGTTCTGAGTGAAGTACAAAATTTTGAATACTTACTTTCATCTTCGCTATCTCATCCCTAACCACCATACCATATTTCAATTTACATAAGTGTATAATTACAGAAAGTAACTGAAAAATTTAACACCTGCACACCCTTTGTTACCCCAAAAAGGGGGTCACCTGTTTTAACCACTCGCATCTCTATACGGTTGTCTGTCAGTCAGTAAACACTAAAATGACATCACATAAGGAACATTTAACGTTGCAATTTGTAGTATCATAGCGTCAGTAAAACAAGGGCTTACCAAGAATCATAAGAATAATTATGCACTCTGTAGGCTACAGCACACACAGCATGACATATGAACTTCAAAAGCAAAAAATACAAATATTTCTTACTCTTAATTTTGGTTTTATTTACTCTTGAAACAGAAAACTTTCGGGGACCCCGAGGAAGTACATCATATCATAAATTCCTTTATTTTCCGTTGTTTCACGTCGTCTTATAATATCCTGTGGCAAGGCACTTGCCAGGTATCGAGTTCATGTGATTCTAGGCCTATGACACGTAGATGCGAGATAGTTTTTTGCTAACAAGGCTGATAAAAAACTACTTTCCTAAAGTGCAGTATATAATGTTAATCGTATTAGGCTGTTTGTTTGTTGATGATGACAAAAGCTTGTTGAAACGCTGTACATTTGTTACTTGTAATAAAGTTTCCATCATTACCCATTCAAGCCGTCTCCAAACTATTTTCTCAAAATGAGTACATCGTCATCAAACTACGTTTGTTTTATAAACAAACCCGTTTACTATTGAACTATAGGCGCGACAAGCCATGTTCGATTCCATGTAGGCTTAGTTCAAAATAATACACAAGTTATAAAATAAATAAATATATATATATGAAAAATATGGTTATGAGTGTCTAATATTTTATACCACTAAAAACCGGGTTTCGATACCCGTGGTGGGCAAAGCACAAATATCCCTTTTGTGTAGCTTTGTGTTTAATAACAAACAACAAAATCTTTAAGTTGAATTTTCTACATATGTTATGTAAACTATTTTATTCCTATATAATGTTATACGTGATAAATGCTGCTTCTGTATGTGTGTGTGTGTCTTTAAGTCATGGGAATTGAATCCCTTGATGTCATGAATCAAAGTGTTACTTGTCCTGCATGGTTGTTGCCGAATTTTTTTTTTTCGATAATTGAGACTGTTTTGTTTTTTTAATAAGCAGTATGTAATTATTTTTAGTTCTGATTAGCAACGTATGAAGTTCAAGTCTATCCGTGCATATTGTGTATTTGGGAAACTGTGAAAGAAAACGTACAAGATCACAATATTTAACAAAATCTAAACAGAAAACTGGAGTTACGAACCGCAAGTTAAATGTCAAGCTCACATCAGCTCAGCTGAGCTGGGATCGATGATAAAGATTGTGTTCTTATATGACTGTAAAGGATATGGTTTGTGTAATTTTGAGATATGCACATACACCCACACCGTTAAAATGTTTTCGTGATGAAAGGAATGGTTTAAAGATATATGCGCCTATCTCAAAATTATATTAGACCATTTCCTTCACTAGGCAATATCTATCATCGATCAGGCTGGGCTAATGTGAGCTGACGTTGCTCGAAACTGCAGTTTTTTGTTAGGTTTTGGTTTTGTTACTGATTGTGAGGTTTTATGTTTTTCATTTCACCCCTCTGATATGTGGAGCAAACGTGAATACTAAACTTAGATGGAAAACTTAACAATTTATACTTACGGAATTCGAAAATTTCACCCCACTGGCGATAGTGGTTTTATCACAAGGTTTTTATGGCTAAATTATGCACGTAACATATTTATATATCAATAATATAAACACCAAATAAACAATTTAATACTTCACAAATAATTCTACTGTTGATGTCTTTTGTTGCTGTTTTTTTTCTTTTCTGTACACATTTGCACAGATATTTCCAAATACTTATTATGAGTCTCTGTGACATTATCCCTTCACGGTTAGTGGAACCGTCCACCAGGTGTCTAGTACAAGGGAACCACAGCTCGATGCGTCTCCATTGACAGTCGTAGGGACGACGTTGCTAAGCTCTGTTACACAGGCGTTTTCGAACCCCCTCCCGTTAGTGTGAGAACTTCCGCTAGTAATTCTTGAAAACAGTTTTTTCTTTTGTCTTCCACCCAACATTTATTGCATACGTCCACATTATTTACCGCATATCGTACGTACGGATCACGTTTGTGAAATCTGCGCCGTTTCTGCTTTTTAATCGTCGTGAGTCGCTCGTGGCTGTCCTTTAAGCCTATATACACCTAAGTTCGCGCGCGCATCCCTGTAGCATAGGAAGCATTGCAAAATCATACCCATCCATCTAAGTAGAGCATCAGCATACAGAAGAGGAGTGTGCGCAATGAGGGGCGGCATCTGATGCCGTCAAGTGCGACGGAGGAGAGAAAGTCCCTCCCTGCACCCTATTCTTGAACGTCCGGCGTGTGCCCTGCTGATGAATTGAATCACGAGGCCTGTCGGGTGGGGTTCTGTCGCCGTTTCCGTCCTTTCCTCCAGCCAAGACTTTCTCTGGGCATCTGTGAAATATACCGACATGAACAATGAATGCATAACGTCCACGAAGAAAGAGCTTGGGGCCAAGGTGCGTAACTAAGTTAGTCCTCCCACCCACGGAAGGAAGGTCGAGTGATTCGGACGAAACCCCAGCATCCCTGAAGACTGGGTTGGGTTTCTTAACCCTTCAAACGAAAGCGATACACACACTAGTAAGTGGAACTTCTCATAGGACAGCATCTGGACGACATGAAGGTTCTGAAGAAGATCAAGCGGTTAGGTCAGTGTTTCTGTAGTATTAATCAAATGGAATATGGATTAACGTACAAAATAAGAATGTACGAACACGCTGTTATATTTTGAAATATGTTATTGGGTATATTTTCACCTTTTGTAACTACTGAAATACTTTACAATATTCATAAAGAGGGGATAAAAGGGTTGAATTCATTGTATTGAATAGCAGAATTTGATTAGTGCAAAGACAGCGTATGATAACAAAAATATGAAACTCGAATAGGTTTTGTAAAATGTTGAACGTCAATAAGCACCTATTTATAGTTTCTGTTATATATATATATATATAAAGAGAGAGGCCCAGAATAATGAATAGGGGAAGAGTACTGAACGTAGATACAGGGTTCCTTTCACGATATCATTTCCTAATTAAATATACTATATCTCATTATATTTATATTGGCAGCGGTGGAATAAAGTATTAACATTTCCTTATATTAGAATTTGTTTTTCTTGACCGAAACTTCCTCGCGTCCTTTTTCTTAACTTTGTATGTAAGTGGCCGTTGGTTAACGCGGTGTTACACACTACAGTGAGGAAACGACTGCTGTTGGTTAACGCGGTGTTACACACTACAGTGGGGAAACGACTGCTGTTGGTTAACGCAGTGTTACACACTACAGTGGGGAAACGATTGCTGTTGGTTAACGCGGTGTTACACACTACAGTGGGGAAACGACTGCTGTTGGTTAACGCGGTGTTACACACTACAGTGAGGAAACGACTGCTGTTGGTCAACGCGGTGTTACATACTACAGTGGGGAAACGACTGCTGCTGTTTGTGGCATTGCACCTTTTACAGAGGATCTCTTTTTGAAGAAAATAAATTCCTCTTTGTCTGAAAATATCCTCATTTCCAATGAAGTGGACGAATTTTGTAGCCCAGAGAAACAAGAATTCCACCATCTTTACGAGGAGATTTTAATTTAACCTGACCCCAAAACGTCTTCATTTACTTGTAGCCTCAAACAAATATCCTCATATATCGGATATCAAGACACATTATTTTGTTTTCACCTATGAATATAGCTTAATTACAGAACATAAACTTCACTGCAGAGTAGTAAAAATATTGTATAACTTCCATCTTTGATATCCTAATGAAAGTTACAAAGAAATTAATAACTTTGTTCATTTT